GGGGGGGGGGGGGGATGATACAAACTGGATGAGCACACTTAACGCAGATGATTTCCAAGCCAACATCATAGTATTGGAGTGCTTTAAAGGAGTCAAGATCAAGAAGGCTATATTGACAATTTAGCTATTTAGGCTAGTCTTATAATTTAGGTCAACTTAGCTTCCTTACTAGCCTAAGCGTATTTTAGTCATCTAGCCTAAATAGCACTTAGTATATTCCTGTCATTTTGAAAGGAAGCTTTTGATAATGGATTGATAAACAAAGACCAAACCTTGAGAGGTTTAGGGTATCTTTTATTTTTCTTTATTTACCATGTTTTTAGATTATCTATGTTAGGTTTATCATGTATCATGAGTTCATGTTCATACTCTTGGATTATCTTTGGTATTTGAATGTTAATTCGTTGTTCTAGTTGATATATCTTCTGGGGGCTTTGGATTGCGTTCTTTACTTAGCTTAATCCGTGTTTCTTATTAGTGTTCTTCCTTGACTGGTATTTATCATAGTAAATGCAAGGGATCTAACTAGTTCATAGTTAGGTTCTTGTCTTTCTCTATCTTAAACCCCAATCTTCTATCTTTTTGATTCCGTATATTTTTTGTCTTTCTCTATTTTAAACCCTAATCTTCTATCTTTTTGATTACTTATATTTTTGCATTATCCAGTGTTATCGATACGATTTCGTATCACTTTAGCTGCAACTGATTCTCTTAGTTGAACTCCTCCATAGCAAATAAACAAATCCGCACCACCTGTCATACGAGCCTGCAACCAAAATTGCAGAGAAGTGCAAAGCTGTCAACAGATATATCATTTAGAATCCTTAAACAATTCACAAAATAGTAAAGAGCAAACAAAGTTTGATGGTGTTGCTTTCAACATTTTCAAAAACAGTGTTTGCCCAAATAATTTGAGTTTTTGCAAACTCTGTTTGTTTAAGTTGTTCTGCAATAAATAAACAACAACAATTTTTCCCGAAGATCTAATCTCAATTTTTAAGATCTTTTAACAATTCAAGAACTACTTTCTAGAATTTTTGAGTTTTTGAAAGTTATGAAAAACTGAGTTTGGAAATCTTTAAAAAAACCACTAACTCCATTTTTTGGTTTTGGCGAAAACAACTCAAACAAACGAAGTTTGCAAAAAAAAAAAGAAGCAAAAACTGAGTTTGCAAAGTTTGTTTTTTGTACATTTTCAAACAAAAGCTAGATATATCACTCCATCCATCACCCATTTTTTACCCTTTGGGTGATTGGAGTTGGTGGTCAAACAGGAGACTAGCGTATTGGTTACCTACCTCAAGATCGGTGGCACCATCACCAAGAGTTCGGAACCCAATTGTTGCCTTTTTGGACTAGTGTGACATAAATATATGTAAAAAAAAAGTGACAATTCTATATATAATGCGGTAACTAACTGCGCTATACTTTAACGGTGTTTTGGCCGTTAAAGTATCGCGCGGTAAATATGTATTTTAACGCATAGCGTTCCAAAGAACTGCGCTATACATAGTGTTCATTTTCATTCCTTATTTTCAATTTCCTTCTATCTTTCTCTTTCTTTACAAACATCTGTTCTTATTTTAATCCTTCTATCCTTCTCTTTCTTTTCAATTTCCAAAGAAAGAATGTTAAAGTAGGATTAATTTCCTTTCTTTCTTTTCAATTTCCTACTTTAACAAAGAAATAACTCAAAATTGTATTTATGTCCAAAC